TTTTAAAAAAAAAAAAAAAAAAAAAAGAGGGGTGTTGTAGTATGTATCTGCAGTCTCGGCTTGGAGGCTGAGGCACAAAGATCATGACATGGCAAAACTTTAAGGAAAAGAAAAAACAAACAAACTGAAATCTTTAATCTGAAAAGAGGAAGGCTGGAATAAAAGCTCGAAAATGGTGAGTTTTCTAATTTTTTGTTTTAAGGTTTTTGCTATAGGGTGTGTATGCTCACTGGAGCAAGACAGATGGAGTGAGTGGAAAACTGAGAAATCACCCCCTGGGGGATGGCCACACCATAATCCCTGCTCCTCTACTCTCCTCTTGGGATTTTGGACACCACACATGTCCAGCATGAATTTCAAGCCACTGAAGTTCAAATTGCGCAGTTAGCCATGTGGGTTCCAGTGCCTTAACCACCTTGCTACCTGCTGGCCTGAGCAGATATCTTTAAAAAGATGAAGATAGGGAATTTCTCACTTTCCCTCTCTGTCTCTCTCTGGTAAGCGCATGTGACCTATGGAAAAACCTTTAAAAAAAAAAAAAAAAGATAAATATTCTCTTAATCCCAGAACACTACAATTGGCAGGAAATCTTCATTCAAATAAATAAAGGCAGTTATTTAATTGATAAGTTTTATCAATACCTATTTCTTAAACCCAAGAATGTAAAACACTGAATAACAAAAATAGTTAAAAAATAGATCCAATACCTGGATCCCACATGGTCGACTGCAGACTGAGTCCGGACCCTACGGCTCAAAAAACACATCAGAATTTTGGGCATGTATGCACATGTACCTGATATGAGTTTTAAGCTACCAGGACTCGAACCACAGTTGACTACATGGGAGTCCAGCGACACAACCATTATGCCATCTGCTAGTCCTAAAACATTAATTTAATAAATTTTTATTATTTAAATGTATTTATTTATTTTAATTTGACCAGAGAGGGACAGAGAAAGAGAAAAAGGGAAAGTGAGAAAGCAAGCCTCCAGGTCTGGTACTCAAATCGTGGTCGGCCAAGAAGTGGTCCAGCGCCCTTAACCACCACGCCACCTGCTGGACCAAAACATTTATGTTTTAACTTGTCTGTTTAATACAATTGCTGCTTGTTTTTATGTTAACTTATTTATGCAATTCAAGAAGTCAAAAAAAAGCACTTGTTCTTTAATATTTTCAAAGGCAACAGCTAACAAAATAAGTGAACACATATTCTCTACTAACAGGAATTTATCCTACTTACATAAGCACAGGTAAAAAAAGGTAAAGATGTGCATTATAACAGTAAAGGAATGGAAATAAGTTAAATGTCAAGATAGGTCAATTAAAATTTTTTTGTGTGTTTGTGTATGTAACCTTAGACTAAGATATAGCTACAAGAAAGAATGAGACTGGTCCATGTGTACTAATATGGAAAAATCAACAAGATATGTTGGGAAGAAAGGAAACAGAATGCAGATGTATGCTCCTATTATATAAAAAGGAAGGGGCACTTCTGCATGTGTATTTGTGTGTATTGTAATCAGTTTCACACAAACATTCCTGATCCTCAAAGGTTTAGATGTAGAAAGCTGGGTCGAGGGAGCAGTAGATGGCATAATAGTTATGTCACTGGACTCCCACGTAGTAGACCAAGGTCCGAGTCCTGGACCCAGTGGCTTAAAAATCACACAGGGCACATGTGCGTGCGTGCGTGCGTGCGTGCGTGTGTGTGTGTGTGTGTGTATGTCCAAAATCCCAAAAGGAGAATGAAGAGAGGATTGTGGCGTGGTCATAACCCTTGGGGTGATGTCTCACTTTCTGTCTGTCTCTCTCTGGCGAGTGCACATACTCAATATCAAAAATCTCTCTAAAAAAAAAAAATAATAATAATAAAAATAAATAAAAAAGCTGAGTTGAGAGGGCAATATCAGTGTTTCTTTTTTTTTTTGGGGGGGGGGAGGTTTTTGCTATAGGGCATGTGTGCTCACCAGACAGAGAGAGACATAGCGACAGAAAGCAAGAACTCAATCATCCCCGAGGGGGGGATGGCCACGCCGCAATCCCTTCTCCATCCTCCTCTAGGGATCTTGGGCACGCACGCACACGCGCCCGGCGTGAGTTTTAAGCCACCGGGTCCGAGACGTGAACCGCGGTCGACTATGTGGGAATCCAGTGACATAGCCATTATGCTAACTGCTGGTCCAAGATCAGTATGTTTTAAAAATCTGTCAGTCTGATGACTAGGTAGTATGCGAAGCCAGAAGATGAAGACAGCAAAAGAGCCTGAGAAATGTCTCAGCAACAGAAAAACTATCAGATAGATATTTCCACAATTAAGAGCTCATTGATAACTATGAGAAAAGCAGGTGCAGTAGAATGGTGACGGTGGAAACTGTTAGAATGGGATACTCAGTGAGAAGCAAATGCAGTAGGATTTACAATGGATGGAGGTTTCCCTTCTGTTTTTTTTTTTCTTCCCAATGTTTATCTGATTCAGTTACATAGTATTATTTTTTTAAAATAATTTATTTAGCTAGTTTTGCTACAAGGCATGTGTGCTTGCTGGTAAGAGAGAGAAAGAGAAAGAAAATCTTGCGCGGGGGGGGGGGGGGGGAATAGCCACACCACAATCCCTTCTCCTCCAATTCCCTTATTGAGATTTTGGGCATGCATGAATGCCCAGCAAGTCTCAAGCCACTGAGTCTAGGACTCAACTGCAGTCAGCCACCTGGGATCTAGCAGCCTTAATGTCAATCTCCATCCTACCTGCCAGCCCTCTTCTGGCTTTTTAATATATTCTCCCTATTTTTTTGATCAAAGAATTCAATTCATTTATATTTAAAAGTAATTATTGATAGGAGGACTCACTATTGTTATTTTGTTCATTATTTTCTGTAAGTCTTAGGACCTTTTTTTTTTTTTTTTTTTTTAAATGCTAGACGGCATGTGCACTTTGAGGAAAACAGAGATGGAGACAGAGAGAGAAAGAAAAGGCATCCCTAGTGGGCTGTGGTCATTCTGTAATCCCTTCTCTCCCATCTCCCAGTCCTGTCAGGATTTCAGATAAGCACACACATGTTCGTGGTGTATTTTTCTTTTCTTTTTTTTTTTTTTTTTGAGAGGTTTTTGCTATAGGGCACGTGCGCTTGCCAGAAAGACAGAGACAGACAGACAGACAGAAAGGGAAAAATCACCCCCCATGGGGGATGGCCACACCGCAATCCCTTCTCCTCTGTTCTCTCGGGATCCTGGGCACTCACACACACGCGCCCAGTGTGAGTTTAAGCCACCGGATCCAAGACTTGAACTAAAGTTGACTACATGAGAGTCCAGCCACATAGCCATTATGCTAACTGCTGGTCCCCTTGGTGTATTTTTCAAGCCTCTTGGGGCTTGGATTCAAACTGCAGCAGGCCATGTGGGGTTTGGCCCACTTAACCACTAGGCTAGGGGAATGGCTCTGAAAGCTGTCTTGTTCCTTATTTCCTCTTAGCAATCATATATACGTCTTTAAAAGAAGACTAAGCACAGATGAGAGAAGAAAGCAGGAGGGAATGCAGTCCAGAGATTATTTAAAACAGGAAAAACATGCACACGTTTCAACACTGATTAATTTGGTTGAAGATGGAAGAGAACAAAGACATAGGAGAAAGGACACTGAGAAGGCAGGGAAGGGAATTAAGACTCCCACCACTGTTAAGAGGAAGGAGCAAGGTACACATTGAGCTCCCCCATTCCTCATTTGGTATATTTACACTCTTCCAGTAAACTCAATTACTTGGTTTCCAGACTTATCCACAACTGAGTAGGAATAGTTGATCAAAAAGGAAAGAAGAGCTGTTAAGGCAAGTTAGCAATAAAAAAGGAAAATTTTCACTTAGTAGTCATTTTTACACTAGAGGGAGAAAAACCCTTTGGAAATTTGGCAGTATGTATTATAATGTAAAATGGGTAATTTGTCTTAACAAGCAATTCAATTTTTATGAATTTATCTTACAGTAATTACAAAACATTGACCCTAATTCCAAATAAAACAAAACAGAGGAGGAGAAACATTTTGCAACACAGGAGTAGCTAAGTGAGCAAGCATCTACATAATGAAGTATGTACCTATAGACTGTAAAATGGCTATAAAAAAGAATGGGACTGACCTATGTGGACTAATACGGAAAAATATGGAAAAATCAACTTTCAGACCAAGAAGACTATATACGGGGACATGCAGATACAGAAAATACTGATTTAAATGAAGAAAGTAAACTACAAAGTATTTTAGAGTATTTGTAATATGATCCCATTTGGTTTCAATTATATAGTAAATATATAAAGCTATAAATATATGAAAAGATAAATCCAAATTGTTAAGAATGGTTTTATTCTATTTCCTTTTTTTCACATTTCTATAATTTGAATGTTTCATAAGGGAAAAGATAGATACAACACTTTAATTGCTGGAAAAAAAAAACAAATAAGAAATAAGCAAATAAACACATTACCTGTTAGATAAAATACATAGTTCTTTTAAATTCAGAGCCATGGAATGAACTTTATAATTTTCTCGGGAGAAAAATGTCTTAAGGCCATTTTTAGGAGAAACATCCCTGTGAAATAAAGCAGTTTACTTGCATCTGACAATTCAAAATCTCATGCTAGACTAAGAAACATAATGGAACAATTTTAAGTTATAACTACAAGCTGTCTATGCCCTTTCCCAGATAATGGCCTCTTAATATGTTTAATTTCAAGTACCAGATCTGTGATCTTAGATGTTTTACTACTTGGATAGCTTTAAGCTGAGGACCGTTATGAAATTCTCCAGCTGCAACAACCAACCTTGCTTTTCTTTTAGTACCAATTAAATAAACCTAAGAGAGACTTTAGTGTTAAAGATAGAACAGACAGAAGTATAATCACGGGCCTATCAGGAACAGGGCTCACCTCTGGCTCTGAGGTATAACATTAAGATGTTTAATTGCTGAAAATAAAAATGCTTCTCAACTTATTTCTGTTAGATACACTACTGTAAAGCCAGGACTAACGACACTACTAACACTAAATGTCTTACCTATTTTTGTTAACAGATGTCTTTTGCTAAAACCTTCTGTAATGCGACCTGATTCCTTTATAACATCATAGTTAATTTAGAGTAATATTATACTCAAGGGGCCAGCGGGTGGTTAAGGACACTGGACTCTCACATGGCTGACCATGGTTCAAGTCCCGGACTAGGCAGCTTGCTTTCTTCCTTTCTCTCGCTCTATCCCTCTCTGGTCAAATTAAAATAAATAAATAAAGTTAAATAAAAGAATTCTTTTTTTTTTTCTTTTGAGAGGTTTTTGCTATAGGGCGCATGCGCTAGCCAGACAGACAGACAGAGACAGAAAGCGAGAAATCACCCCCCACGGGGGATGGTCACGCCGCAATCCCTTCTCCTCTGTTCTCCTCTCGGGATCTTGGGGACGCATGCACACATACCCGGTGTGAGTTTTAAGCCACCTGGTCTGGGACGCAAACCGCGGTTGACTACATGGGAGTCCCACGACATACCCATTACGCTAACTGTTGGTCCCAATAAAAGAATTCTTAAAAAAAAAAAAAAAAGTTATACTCAATGTTTTTTTACCTAGTAAGCATCTCAACAAATGCTGGCTGAATAAAGAAGTTTTAAAAATAAATAAATAAGAACAGTGAGGCCTGTTAATCTAGGGGCAAAGAGTAAGCGCATTATATGGAAGAGGACAGTTTAAGGGCTACAATATTATACAAAGATTCTAAATCACACTTGGTTTCACAGTGCCAGTGGTATATAACAGCATCTTTATTTCATCTTAACACATTCCTGATAGTATTGGCAAGGAGCACAAATATACACAGCTCTTCACACTTAACATCTAATCAAATGGCAACTTCTGGTTGTCCCATTCCCCAAATGGGAAATTCTAGCCTATTTGTCCCATACTCATTTCTTATTATTTTCATAGGCATCTATCCTGAAAACTGTAATTAAGGTAGTAATGGTAAAATTAGAATTTCTTATTTGCTACGTATCAGTTTCTAATCAATTTCTTATCTTCTCCTGGAACTACATCTGTGACATCTCATTAAATTCTAAGGATTCTGTGTATTGTACAGGAAAAAAACGCCAAGGGCCTCAGGGACTGCAAGCTCCTTGGGGACAGAGTGTCTGCAATAAACAAATACTTGTTAAACATACTGATTTAATATTTTTTGTGTCTTCCTTGGCTGGCTCAGTAAATACATGTTAAAATGATTTAAAGCAGTGCATGTATTAGTTAGATGTCCAGAAAAGTAACAAGATTACTCACCTGGGTTCTCTATTTGTGTAGTTCTCACACACTCTTAAAGCATAGTCTATGCATTTATATTATCATTGGGTATAGATCCCAATATAACAAAAGTGTTCTTAAAGAACTGTTACTACTTGGGACCAGCAGTTGGCATAATGGCTATGTCACTGGACTTCCATGTAATCGACCGGGATTTGAGTCCAGACCGGGTGGCATAAACTCATGCCCGGCACATGTGCGTATGTGCCCAAGATGCCGAGAGGAGAATGGAGAAGGGATAGCGGTGTGCCCATCTTCCCTAGGGAGTGATTTCTCACGTAGCGTCTCTGTCTCTCTGGTGAGTGCACGCGCCCTATAGCAAAAACCTCTCCAAAAAAAAAAAAAAAAAAAAAGAATTGTCATTACTTTTACAGAAATAGGCATGGTCTTTGGACACAAGGAAATTAAAGCATTTCTCCTTAGCAAGAGTTCAACAGTAACTACGTGATGGAATTATACCTAATAACAATCTGAATGCTGACTTGTTACTTTAGGATCCAATGTGTGTAGTCAGAAAAAGGTTCAGTACCTGACAATGAGAAGAGGGTAAACTGAAATCCTGAACGTGTGTCTTCTCTCAGTTTCCTCCAAATCTCTCCAAGCCAGAAACCTTCCTCTCTCACTTAAGGCAACCACCAGCCCTGCCCCACTCCTCTCTGGTGGACTACAAAGAGATCCAACTCACCAGTTTAATCTTGGTTCACTCATGGCCATCTTGGTGCTCATCATCCTAGATTTTTGCTTCACTCTAACTCAGAATTGTGATGTCTGGCAGCAAAGGTTCCAATAAAGGCAGGAGCCCTTTTTTATACTCAACTGAGGAAAAACAAAAGGGCAGGATATAAAGCAAGCGATTACCGACGACAGGTGTTAACGCAGGTGAGGAAGATCCTCTCCCTAACCTCTACCCTTAGCAGACCGTGACACCTAAAATAGAAAGCAGCATACAGTTCACAAGGGTCTCTGTAGCAGAGCAGCAAAGATGGTCAGGCAGTGTCCTTCCCCAGTCGGCGGTATCATTCTCAGGGCACTGGGGGGTGGGTGAGTAAGAGCAGAAGCAGAATATGGTGTTTCCATGCTAACTTACTTCACTGTACAGCTTGGGGCTGCTAAATCCTAACTCCCCCACTGCCTTACCGCCCAAACAAATCTTGCTTCTGTTCCTCCAATCACACCGGCAATGCCACGACAAAAACTCTCTGGACCTGAAGGCTCTTAGACTTTCAAGGATAACTGTATCTGAGAAGACTGAGGTCCGGACAACACAGGTGCCACTGCACAGGACCACGGAGAAGTGACTGCGCACCTGGCCTGACCTCTCCACACCGTACCTCCTGTCACCCAGGCCCCCGACCGAGCCGCACGTGAGAAACTACCAGGCTTACTAGCGGCTAAGACGAGGCAGACCAGTTCCCCCTCAAGCCACCTCACACTCCATCCGGCGTGGGGCTGGGGAGGTGGAGTCCGTGAGGGCAAAAGGAACGGCTGGGGAGGGGAACGAAAGAAGAGACGCCAGGTTACAGGAAGGCGGGTCGCGGGCTGAGCAACGCCGGGGCAGGAGTCGCGCCACAGCTGGGAGCGGAGGGTCCTGGCCGGGCCGTGGGGGCCGCCATGTTGCTCCCTC